CCCCCCCACCCCGCCCCACTCCGCTTGTCCGGCGGCGGCGCTGGCTTCGGGCTCGGGCTGTCCCTGCGCTCCTTGGTCGGCGTCGGGGCTGGACGGCTGGGCTCCCTCCAGGCGGCCGGGAGGTTTTCGGAAGGTTCCTGGCAGGGCCTGTCCCCGCCGTCTTTGGGGAGCCGACTGCTCTTGAACCTGGAGGCTCCACTCCCGTTGGCTCGCGGGGCCACCCAGCCAGGCTGCTTCGGGGGCCGGCGCAGCAAACCGGGAGGGAGTTTCGCGGTGCTTGGAAAGGGTGGCCAGGAATTTGCCTGCTGAAAGTTTTTGTGGAAATGTAGCCCCCTTTGGGCTTGGAAAGGGTGGCCAGGAATTTGCCTGATAAAAGTTTTGGTGGAAATGTAGCCCCCTTTGGGGGGCGGGGTTGCTACTCCTCTGGGAGTGATTGATTGATTGACAGATTTATAGATTGCTGTCCTTTTTTAAAAATAAATATATTAAACAAAGATCCAACCTAAACGACATAAACCTAACAGCACAATAAAATACAATTTCATAATAGGCCAGTGCCACCCTCACCCTCAGGGCTAGCATTAATAATATTTTAAATTTCATTCAGTCCATTTTCTCTCCAGAACCTCATTGTTTCTTCCCTCGGTGTATCCCCTTCCCTCTCCGAAATACATATCCCAAGAATACACTCCATATTTTCTTAAAAATCATTATTTTTTAATAGGCCTCTTCTTATTTTCATATCGCATGTCAGTTTATCATTAATTCCCATATCTCATAGTTCTCTATACCGTTCCTCTAAGTTGAGTTGGTTATCATTTTTCCAGTTTCTTGCAAAAATTAACCTTGCTGCCATAAACATTATTATTACTAAGTCCTTATTTTCTTTCAACAATTGATCCTTCTTAACCATATTCAATAAAACCACTGACGGGGACATTTGAATATTTAATCCAGTTATTCCCCTTATTTCTTTAAAAATTTGCTTCCACTCATTCTTACTTACTTCACTTATGACCACCACTTATGTAAATATGTCCCCATCTCTTTTTTTACATCTCCAGCGTAGTGATGATACATTTTTATTTATTATTGCAGTCCTAGCCGGCTTGACCAAAGTCTGCCACTGGCCGCTGACAGCTCCTGCCGGTATCTGTTTCCTATGGACAGGTGTCCAGCCTCATAACCCTCGCCCTCTCTCTGCCCCCTATAGGAGCAGCGTGGCCCAGTTTTGTTCCCTCCTCCCCCCTCCCTCCACTACTGGACTCCCGGGGGGGGGGCTTTTGTGAGATGGAGAGCGCTCCCCGCTCCCCCTCCCGCAGAGATCCCCAAGTTCCATCTTGACACTTCCCCCAATGGGCCAGGCCTGGGAGCTGCCTGTGGGGCCGGCACCGTCGCAGCCTCTCCCCAGGTTTCTCTCTGCCCTCTTGAGCCAGTGGCAGGCACGCACATGGTGGGGGGGGGTTGACCCCTGCAACTCTGGGGGTGGCACCAACAAGGAAGAGATCTTTTCCTAGGGCTGCCCTGCACCATCTCAGAGGGCAGGTTGTCTGCAGGCCCCTTGCAGGAGTGCAAGCGTTCTGAGGGAAGGGCCCTTTTCACCTTGAGGGAGCCCTGCCCGCATCTTCACCCCACAGGACAGCATGGGGGCCACTGCACAGAGGGACCAGAAAAATCCCAGGAGGGTGCCCAAAGGCGGGCAGGCGGGCGGGCAGGGCAGGGGAGGGGGGCAAATGCCTTGAGGCCAAGGGGGCTTCTCAGCCCTTCCTCTCGGGTCCCTCTGGGCAGCCCCGTTGGCCTCCCTCCGGGAGGAAGCCATCTTCTAGAAACCCCTGGGATGTTTGCCAGGAGACGGTCTGGCTGCCCATCATCCTTCTCGCGGCTGTTCCTGCGGTTTGCCGCCTCCTAGCACCGAGCCCTGTCTCCTCGCCCCCCCCACCCCTGGCAGGCCGGTTCCGCCCGTGTGGCAGCAGTTGGGGGGTTTTGCTTTGGGCCCGAAGCAGCGAGGGGACTCCGTCTGGCCCTGCAGGGCGACCGCTCTGCTTGCAGCTGAGCATCCAGCGGTCTGATCCTGCTCAGTTGTCCTTGTGAGGACTCTTTCTGAAGGCGGAATGAGGCTTGGGAAGCGGCAATGAGACTGAAAGCAAGGGCCGGGCCTGAAGGGAGGGGCGGGAGGCATTTTCCCCTCCTTTTTCCCATCCCCCCCCAGTCTCAAGCATGGCTCTGAAAGTGGGGAGGGGGGGAAGAGAGATGCAGCATCCTTCCAATGCCTGCTTTTATCCCAACCCAAGGGGGCCCCTCAGAACAGGGCAGGGTGTTACTCCAAGGGGCTCTAAAAGCAGGGACTTCCCTTGCCCGGCTTCTCAACGAGCATGCTGAAGAGATCTGAAGGAGTCAAAAGCTTGCACACTTCAGCATAATTTTGGAAGATATGGCTCATCGGTGGATTTTAGAAAAACATCATGGGGCAAAAACACAGTTAATCATAATAAGGAAAAAAAGTTGCTTTTCTCAGCAAAATGCGTGGAAGCTTTGATGACGGAAGGACTGTGCTCACTTCTTCATTTTGCTGAGAAAAGCAACAGGTTCAAGCAGGATGCATGCGTTTTGTACATGAGCTCTGATTCCTTGGTGGAGGGGCAGGAGTGGGCAGGTTGAAGCTCTCCCCCCCCCCCATGGTCCCAGAAGCAGGAATG